CAAAAAAACCCTCAAATATTGGACTTATTAACTTACATAAATTAAAAGTAATATATCTCATATATTTGATTGTCGTTCAATCATCCAGATGAGGACGAGGGTTTTCCAATCTCAAACACGAAAATTCTACAAAAAATTGGACAAGCACGTTAGATAAATTATATTTCCAAAATATATTTAACAAAGTCGACAAATACATAACCAAAAAATTATAAGTAAAGGAAAAATTTTACCGGACTCAATTTTTGTTAATTCATATAAGCTCTCCTCTAAGATGAATGGTACACGCGAAGCCCGAATCTAATCTTGTGTACAAATAAGAGCCTCCACCATCTTAGGAGTGAGGGAGCTACGAAATGGATCCAATACACGACCCCCTGTACTGAAAGCTGACTCAAATGCAACTATAGAGACAGGCATAGCCAATACATCTTGTGTCATAGACAGAACTCTATGTCTTGCTGAATTTAACTTCCACCATTGCAAGATATCCAAGCTCTTGTTGTTGTCATCTTCACAATCGTCCATTCAATATTTGTCCAACTCTGTTTTGTAATGAACAACTTTTTTCTTGCTTTTTTCTCCTGATACATAATCTTCATAAACTTCTCATTGTCAAGACCTGCATCATGAACATCACTCTGAATTGTAACTCGAAACTACTCACTTGGTTGCGCACTAGGGACCACTTTAAACAAACTATATATTGCTCAAATAAAGACACCAAAACTCCCTTCACTTTTATCTTTAACATATCAGCAAGAACAACATCAAAAGACTCATTAATTACCCAATCCACATATTATAACTTGTGCCTCGGATCTAGTACCTCTGCAATGAATAACATGAGGTTGATATTATCAATATTTGACCAATATTTATCGTATTTCCTTTTTATCCTTAAAGCCATACTATGTAACCCCACATCATAACTTGTACACTATATTGAAATCTTCAACCTAATGCCAAAAATGTCTTGCATGTAAGTATTATTGGCGACATAAAATGAGCCAGAGATATGTAAAGTAGCATCATAAAAGACTTTAAGAAAAAGTTCAGAAGTATTGTGCATACTCCCAATCAATGCATGAGCTGCCACGTTGGGATTGTGAGAGAAAGTTTATGAGAAAGGTTATGGGTGTAACATTTTCCATAATTTAAATATACTTTTTATAGGGGTAAATCAGTGAACTCAACAATTAATGTATGGACAAACTTGTAATTGCTATGGTAAATAACAGTCAACCTACCAACTTAACAACCAAAATTGACCTTAAGGGGTCTCCATGGAAGTTTTTGAAGTTCATAGGGGCTAATAGAGTTTTTTTAGTTTCAGTGGGTGTGTTTGATAATAACCCTTAAAATAACAAAAATTCTTTCTCGAAGCTTTAAATTTATATACTCTAGGTCCTATTTCGTTACAAGGATACCATGTTCCATCTTAACCTTGGATCAAATTTTGAGAGTCGATTTAAAGAACCTTTAGGTTACATAGGGATGGAAAAGATACTGACTAGGGTGGCTTGGCCCGTGTTTGGCCCGGCATGAGTATATACTATATATATATACCCTGGGCCTAGGTTCTGCCAGTAAAGTCCGGGCTTGTGTATATTATATAAGATTTATAAAATTACATATAGTTTCTATGTAAAATTACATAAAACACCCTAAAAAATTTTAAAAAACCCCATAAATTCTTCAACAACCTTTTTTAATGTAAACGTTCCAATAACCCCCTAAAAGATTATCCAAACCCCACCTATAAAGTGAAATTTCCAAAAGCCTCATATTCATATTAGCCAAAACTCGGGCCTAAAGTTCGGTTGTGCTTAACCTTGGGCTTGGATTTAAAAAAAAAAAAATCAAGTTGAGCCTAAGTGACCTCGGTTCAGGCCTAGGGTTTTTACATCCTTATAACATTGCACTTAGGGTCAGTTTGGTTCGGGGTTAAGTGACATTACTGGGGTAATGTCATCTTATATTACTTGATTACCACGTTTGGTTGTCAAGTAATATAAGATGCCAGTAATCTTCAAATACCAATAGTAGTTATTATTGGTAATATAAGAGGTAATCTGATTACCTCCATTTTCTTAGGTTTTCTGAGATTACCAGGGTTATCTTTTTTTGTTACAATTTTATCCCTTATTAATAAAAATTTTGGACAATAATACCCCTACTTTAAAACAAATTTACATTAATATCCTATTTCAATTTTACCCTTGTTTAATTAAAATTTTGGACAATAATGCCCTTATATTTAAAATAATTTACAGACCACCACTGCCACCAAGCCACCACCACCACAGCCACCCAGCCACCACCGCCGACAGCGGGTCAACCACCACGGACCACCGCCGGAAAATTGCCGGAGTCCCTAAAAACACTGGAAATTCTGTGGGAGGCTCCGGGAGGCTTCGATATGGCCGTTTTTGGCCATATTGATGGCCGAAAACGGCCATATCGGGCCAGATCTGGCCGGAAATGGCCAGAATAGGAAATGGCCAGATCTATTCTGGCCATTTCCGACCAGATCCCTGGCCATTATCGGCCAGGTCTGGACCAGACCTGGCCGTTAACGGCCAGATCTGGTCCAGAACTGGCCGCTAATGGCCAGGAATCTGGCCGTTAACGGCCAGATCTGGCCTGATATGGCTGTTTTCGGCCATCAATATGGCCGGAAACGGCCATAACGAAGCCTTCCGGAGCCTCCCACAGAATTTCCTTCTTTTTTAGGGGCTCCGGCGATTTTCCGGCGGTTGTTCGCGGTGGTGGCAGGCGGCGGCAGGAGGTGGGGGTGATTTCGTCATGAATTAAAGTTTTTTTATAAGCGGGGGTGTTTTAGCTAAATCTGAAATATTGGGGGTTAAAAAAATTATTCAAAAATTAATAATAAAAATAATTTTATATTAATATTTAAAAGGGGGACAATTTAGTAATTTAAATAGCATACCCACCAATTTATTCCCCATAACCAAATATATTAATATAACATACCCACCAACTAACCGAACATATTTTTTTAAAGATTCCCAGTAATCTTTCAAGGTAATCTATCTTTCCAGTAATTCAACATTCCCAGTAATCTAACATTCCTGAACCAAACGTCCCCTTACAACTTTTTCATATAACCTAGATGTGATAACTCGCAATTAGTTAGCTCGTAGTGGATCGCGTTTACTCAAATGCAAACTGACCAATCATGAGTTACTATTTTAGGGTTGTGTAAAAAAGTTGTATAAAAAAGTTGTAAGTGTAGTTTTATTGTAATTATAAATGGAATTAAATAGCTCTTACCCTCAATCATTTTCATGGTGAAATTATGTGAATTGGATGCAATTCATTATCTATAGAGATATTCACATATATAGTCACCCTTACTAATTTTAATTCCCAAAATTTTAAAGTAAAAAAATCAATTTACCCCCTAAAGTTTTGGATATTCATTTCGAACAACTATGGCGACTTTAATCACCTTCCCCCCAACAGTTTCAAAAATCAATCATGTCACCCCAAAATCGTGCAGACGTCAATTCAATGTTAGATTATGAAGGGTAAAATAGCCAATTACATTCTTTTATATTTGAATAACCCGAAATTTTATTTTTTCCCTCCCGTCTAACTTTCTTTTATTTTTTTCTCCCCTTCCTACTTTTCTTTTTTTCCCTTTCTTCCTCAACTCTTTCCTTCTTTATTTTTTGTCTTCTCTTTTCCTCCTATTTCTTTCTCCTTTCTTCTCACTTGTCATTCTCCACCGGTTTTGAGAGGCTTCAGAGTTACTGAGAACGAGCAGAGTCAGTAACCAGGCAATTTTTCAGGTGTGTTTTTAACTTGTTTAGTTAGCAGTTCAAACACCTAGGGTTGCTTTAGAATATTTATATTTGCTCTCTCTGTGGGCCTGTTAGGTTTGAACAAAACAAGATCTCTTCTTTTCAAGAATTTCATACTGAGAACCCGAGTGTTACTATTGTCATTAATAATCAATGCAAAAGCTTTAATATCATTTTGTTGTGAATATTATGCATCTTAAAGTCATTTCGTGTTTTAAAAGCGATATAATATGCTCTTAATTCTTTATTTTTATATTTAAAGGATTTATTTTAATATAGTTTAATAATTAAAATTAAAAAAAAAATTACTTAAAAAGAAACCTACTTTGCTCATTTTACATTTGCCATCTATCAATTTTCAAAAGTAAAGCAATTTTAAAATTTTACAAAACAAATACCTGAAAACTTTTATCAAAAGTTGATTATTCATAAAGTTGGGCTAAAAGTGAATAAGGAAAAAGCTTAAATTTGGTAAGTCTAAGCTGGATTAGGATTTATTATATCAAATTCAGTTTTTGTTTTTGTTTTTGTTTCGCCGTGCAATATACCCCACCAGTAACATTGTTGGTTTGTCTGCTCAACTACAATTGAATTTGAGGTTTTGCTGTTTGGGATTTATAGTGATTTGGATTGATTGTTTTCTTGAGTTGATATCAGTGGTGGGAGGCGGGCGGCAGGTGTAGGGATGCTAATTTTTGGGTGAAGAGAGATGTTTTAGGGTGGGTATTAGGGTAAGAGGCTGTTGGTGGAGAGAAAGGAGGGAAAAAAGGTAAAGAAGGGGGAGAAGGGAAAGAAGGAAATAAGGAGGGGGGGGGGGGGGGGGGGGAAAAAAAAAAAAGGAGAGAAAAAGAGTGGGTTTAATTGTTTTTTTTCACTTTTTCTACAATTAACAGAGTTTGGACAGAATTAGGATTTTGGGACGTGTTTGATTATTTTTTTAGAAACTTTTGTGGGTATTAAAAAGTTCATAGTTATCCAAATACTTTTTGGAAAATGTAGGACTGATTGATTTTTTTCTCGTTTCAAAGTAAATGAATTACCATATATAATATCAAACTATAAAACTATATATATAAAAGAAGAATCTTAATCTTAATCAGCTGTTCTATTTTGTTTTGATGAGATGTTTTATTAGCTTGATAAACATTAAATTTCAACAATATTTGCAGGATGACTGAGTTAGCGGCAGCGCAAACAGCCATAGCTGGAGCCGATTTTGCAATTAAACAAGGCACAGGCATAATCAACTCTCTGAAGAGGAAATATGGTTACGTGAAAGATATGACACAGAATTATAAGAAACTTTTGGAGGAATATCGAAAACTTTGCCTTCGAGAGGAAGATATAGATATCAAACTGAAGAGATATGAAATGGAAGTAGACGAGACAGAGGAAAGCAAAGACTGGCGGGGAAAAGTGAAACGGATGATAGTTGAAGTCGAAGAATTAAAGACTGAGTATGTAAGGCACTCCAGATCTAGATGGTTTCTTTATCTCATGAAACTTGGCAGACGAATTGTGAAAAAGACAGTGGATGTAGTTTCTCTGACGAACGAGAGGGTACCTAATATAATGGTTAGGAAGGCGCCAGCTCCACATACAAGCATTCCTACCAACGAAAATATTGAATTCCCATCAGTTGAAGAAAATGTAAACAAGCTACTAGAGTATCTGAGAAAAGAAGATATCAAAACAATTGGCGTACGGGGACCAATAGGAGTTGGGAAAAGTACGATAATGAATTATCTGCAGCAAAAAATTCAGGTACTTGAAGACTTTGACACTGTGATTTTGATAAAGGTAGGTAGCGAAGGTGCTGAGAGCTACATACAACAAGAGCTTCAGAAGCAGCTGAATATTCCGGAAGAACGCAGCGATGAACAAAAGAAAAAAATGATTCATGATAACCTGAAGAACAAGAAGTATTTATTGTTGCTTGACGACGTTTTTTCAAATATTGATTTGAAAAAAGTAGGCATTAATTATGAACATCAAGGAAAGGTGGTCATTGCATCAAGGTATAAAGAAGTTTGTTGGAAGCTGAATGAAGGGATAGAAGTGAAGAGATTGTCGGACACGGATGCCGAAGACATGTTTTGGGATAAAGTGGGCAAGGATTTGAAGAAAAATCGACACATCAAGACACATGCAGAATTGATTATTAAGTTCTGCAGTGGCATGCCATACCTGATAAATTTGATAGGAAATTACTTACGTGAAATGACTCGTGCAGAAAATGTATACCGTGAATCAATATGGCGAAGCACATGGGATTTATTAACATCACCAAGGGGGGAACCGAAGGGAGATTTGGAAACAGTTTACAAGTACCTTAAACTTGAAACTGACAGGCTGAAAGGAAATGACAAGTCTTGCTTTCTATATTTGGCAAGTTTTCCCTCTAGCCATGAACTTCTTCATGATTATATAATTGAATGTTGGAGAGCGCAACAATTCTTAAAGAATTTCCCAAAGCTTGGGATGGCACGTGACCATGGGTGTAATCTATTGCTGCATTTTATCAACCATTTTCTTTTGGAAAAGGAGACGGAGGCACAATATAAGATGTTCGAGTTTTATCGACGACTTGCGCCCAGTATTGCCAGAGACGACAACAATTGTGTTCACGAATCAAGGATCTTAGTGACTGGTGATTCATTCCTATTCCCTTTGCCACATGAGCCCAATTATGAAAGAATCTCGACATTATTACTAAAAGAAATTAGCCGCTTTCCACAAATTTCATCACCATTCTTTGAAATTCCTTTGACTACTTGAATCGTATAAAGCGAAGATCAAAACTCTTCCATCATCAATCTCTAGTATGAAAAATCTCAAAGCGATGTTCCTTAAGAATTGTGATCAATTAAGAGTGCTCTGTGATGACGTAGGAAATCTTCATGGTCTCGAAATTCTTGACATACGTCATACTGGAATTTATAATTTGCCTCTAGTAGTAGGAAATTTAACTACTCTTAAGTGTTTGAGAGTTTCAGTTAGGAATAGTGTCGGGAATCAAGACCATGTGGTCAGGCGAGGCAGGTGATTTCTCCTAATGTTCTTGCACGACTTCATTCACTGGAAGAGTTGGGTGTTGATGTGAATCCAACTGATGGAAGATGGAATCAAATTGTAGACAGTGTTGTTGCGGAAGTTGCTGCTCTTACAGAATTGACCACTCTCTGTTTCTACTTTCCTACAGTGAATAGCTTCGAGACATATATTCATACAAGTATGTCGTGGAATTTGAACAATGAGTGGAGACCTGAAAGACTCAGATCATTCAAAATCATTGTTGGTCAGCAGCAAGAAAATTGTCTTACTGAATTTGATGCCTTTAGATGGTCAGCTGAAAAGCGTTTGAGATTCTCAGCAGGTGATTTTTTTTTCATTAAATTACAACCAAAGCAGTCCACTTTATTCCTTGAAAAAATATATGTCGTTTATAAATGAATTACATTTTAAAAGTCAAAAGATATAGTTTATGTCACCATTATATATATTTTTTCATCTCTTGGCCTGCAAACCCCATAAAAACAAAGTATTTCTGCTCAAAACAATTGAACCAACTTCTAATTCCGTACATATGGTTACTCTTCGAATTCTTTATATATATTGTATCTTTATAATACGCATCTTGTATCCATGTATATCTTTATTGAACAAAATATTGATTGATTATTTTCAATTTAAACTGCAATGGTAAGATAGCTTCATTTGATTTTCTGTAGGGTTAGAGTTTTTGGGTTGTTTTATATTTTTGGTATTTAAGGCTATGGTTTGATTTTAATATGTGGATTATTTGTTTTCAATTTGTTTTACATCTAGTTCATTTATGGTTTATATTATCACCATTTTGTAATGATTTTTTTTTGTTTATCTATTATATGCATTTTGAGGGATAAAATTTATTATGTTCTGCAATTAGTTGTATATATATATATATATTTTGTGATGTTCGCTAAAAAATTGTACTTTAAATTTTTAGTATTAAATACGTATTGAACAGAATATAATTGAAATTTGTCTTTTTATGACTATATTCATACAGGTGAAACCTTTCCTGATGCAATTTTAAAGATATTGAAGGAAGCATCGTCCTTTGAGCTAATTGCTCATACAGCTGAAAACTTATCAGTGTTTAGTGCTGAAAATCTAGAAGGGCTTGAAGTTTGTGCAATTAAAGATTGTCCTGAAATGACAAGCATTATTGATGGTAATGGCGCCGCGTTTCAACTCCTGAAGAAGTTGCACATAGATGGTCTTCTAAAATTGGAGCACATTTGGAAAAATTCAGTAATACCAGAGCTTAGTCTTATCCAGCTCACAAATTTAAAGGTAAAAGGATGCCACAGTCTAAGAGTTTTGTTCTCAGAGAATATGGTTTTGCGACTTAACCAGTTACAGCAGATTCAAGTTGAGGACTGCCGAGTCATTGAAGAAATTACCAAGGATGGAAGTATAGTTGATTCTGGGGCCTTTCCTAACTTGAAGGAGTTGGAACTCATTAATCTTCCCTTATTGTCTAACATATGCAATAATGCAGACTTGACCTGGAATTCTTTGCAACTGTTGAAGATAGATGCATGTGTGGAGCTAACAAATTTCCCATTTACTTTCAAAGGGGCAGAGAAATTGAAATCGATTTATTGCACTGAAAATCCGTGAAACCAGTTGTTTTGGCCGAATGATAACGATGTTACAAAAAATCGTTTCCAAAAGCTGCGTCAGTCCAAATAAGGTAACTTAAAAGACAACTCTTTTAGATGTGTTTCTTTGCTGTGCTTTTAGATGGCAATCACCAATGTTTACGAGACTAATTTGCAAAACACTTTTGAGTTCTCATTTTTTACAGGCATGGATTTGCGGATGGTAATACGGTTATATTATTCCACTTGAGTGAACCTTTTTCAGGGGCATGCTGCAGGATGTCAAATTTCAAATTATTTTTTTTTTTTTTTTTTTTTTTTTTTTTTTTTTTTTTTTTTTGAGTTTTCTTTTGGAGTTTAGCTGATGGTTGATGAAGTTTGCAAGTTCTTTAATTTCTTTCTAAGATCTGAGTATGATTCAGAGTAAAGAGTTGTATTATTGATATGAGAAGAGTTTAAGTTTATTGAAGTCTTTATCTTGATGTCATGTTTGATTAATGACTTGAGTAAAGATTTGGATTTTCTTCCTCTATGGATTGTTTCATCTTTTCTTATTGATTCTTAGTTCTTCTTATTGATTCTTCTAACCTTCTCTATCTTTCTGGTTTCTTGCTATTCTGTTTAACTTTTTCTATTCGTTCTATTTCTATCTAAATTTCTGATCTTTATCTCTCCTTCTGTTCCTCCATCAATTATTATCATCTACCACCACCTGAGATTGACAATCCTAGTTATGCTTTCTTCATGACTGGGCAGCTGACTCGTCTCACTAGGTTTTCCGATAACATTGGGTCAGATTTATGTCTTATCCTCATTTTGGATTGCAGCTTAGCACTACTGGTAATTTCCTGAGGGATCAACCACCATCGATAAAAAAGCCTAATAGCTCTTCCGTCTACATCCTATCTGCAATGTCTCATGAAACTTTTCTATGTTTGAAGGGTTACCTCTGCAAAAATCACAACATCAAAGAGCTTGTCTATCTTGGCACTAGTGCAATCTTGTCAATACCACCTATTCCGTAAACCCCAATCATGTAGATATAGCCGATCTTAAATTCGTAGCATAAACTCTTTAAAGTAGACATTCTTGATCCAAAGGTCCCGTAAACTCGGGTGGAAATAAGCTATAATATGTTGGGTGGAATCATTGTGTAAGAAGCTCAACCAAACACTCCTCCCTGGAGTTCAGTAACATCCTTCAGCTGCCTCGATGTTTTATTGCCAATAGCGATGGTGGGTTATCAAATTGCGGCACAATCCAATGAAACATTGCTTCTTCGCTTTCTGCTCAAAGCCTTTCAAAGTTATTCTTGCATCATGGACAAGCTTCTCAACACCAGTTACCCCTTTCAAAACATCCTTGTAAATCGCTTCTCGATAGATCCACTTGTTCTGGCAAAACACATCTCATTGTTGATCTGCGCTCGGTCATTAATCAGATTCACAACTTTAGTTTAGAGAGTATCAAACAATGTTACACAGTTGCGAGAAATAAATGGATTTTGGCTGAAGTAATCCAGCTGAAAATCTCCTCTGTATTGGTAAGGAAGGAAATGTCATGGACGGCTTTCCAAACATCTCTTCTTTCGTTTCCATTTATGTTCAATAATCATGCTTGCTATACGGATGAGATTGTTTACCTTAATCAGCCACCCCATAATGTCATTTTCTATCTCTTCCTCATTTCTTTCAGCAGCCTGAATGTTATGTAGCGCACGCTGTTTGACGAGGGTCAAATTCTCAATTTGTGCCTTGAGATTCTCAAAGTTGCTCTTGTATGTGCAAATAACTAAACTTATCTCCGATTCCGATGGTTAGTGCAGGATTTGAGAGCAGAAGACGAACTGATTCCACCATTTTCAACCACTTCTCTAGGGCTGTATAGGTAATGTAGAGACCATCATAAGTAAAGTAGACAGGACTGACGAAATAAGAAATCATTTGGATCTCGAAAATCATAGTTGATTATTAGTTGAGAAAAGCAGAATAAAATTTTATTTATTTTGGAAGATAAACTGTCATCCTTCAAACAGTACTTGCTGATTCAATAGCCGGGCAGGAAATTGCGCAGAAGTACATCGCTCTGAGTTTGAAAAACTTCACCTTTAAGTACAGAACCTGATTATCATGGTAAGCTGAAATTTTGCATTCCAAAGCTTCTGGCTGTAAGATATTTTGGTATGTTGTTTCTTTATAGACTTCTGCTAGTCTTGCTCAGAATTCAGATTATCATTTTATCTTCGCCACAACAAGTAGGAATCTTTAACTGGGTTTCTACATCTGGCGATATCTATCTTTCTTCAGCTTGTTTGAGTCTAAAGCGCAGTGTTTGCAAATGTGAACTCAAAATCCAAATTAGTGCCAAAGAGTTGCATACGTTGAACTGAAGGTAAATGCCGCACTGCCTAACTCCAAATGATGCATAAAAGGATGATCACAATCTTCCTTAAAATCTGGACATTCTGCAACCATAAAGAAAACATATTAAAGGGTGAAAGTAGGAACTTCATACTATTTAAATTAAATTTGTGTGAAGGGCAATTTAAAATTTTAAACATCCGAAGTATATTATTGATATAATATAATGTATACATCAAATCAAACTAAATTCATACCTTTTCCTTACTTAGACCACTTCATGGTTGCATTAAGGTCACCTTGCCAAAACCCTTCATCTACTCCTCGGTTTTGTCGAACTTTATTTAACCTTGGTGTCTGTAAGACTCCGGTAGAGAAAATCTTCATCTTGGGACATTCTATCACAAGTAAATCTTCCAAAGATGGGAATTGGAAAGTGTTATTGCCAGAACAGGAACTGGCGAGACTTTCAAAATTTTCAAGTGACAAACACTTCAATTTTTCAAGAAGATTGACTTTGATTCCAGGCCCTGATTAGAGCATATCAGCTTCTACTGTCTTCCAAACTTGAAGAAGATTGACACTGATTCCAGGTTCAAAAGATTTGAAAATAAAGGCTGAGAAGAATTGGCGGGATGCATTAGAGTGGAAAGATGATGAATTGCTGTTGCATCTTGAAAACCATTCCACCATTATTTTTCAAGATCATCTGCAAGTAGTCGTTTGATGAGTTCATAGGTAAAAGTAAAAATTCATGGTTTTAACATGTTCTACATATTGTATCACCCAATTATCAGGTACGTTTGGTTCAATATTTCTACCCATATTCTCAATCCTATTCTCCAAATATTGTTTGGTATATTATTACAGAAATATTAGTGTATTTTTTAATTACTTCTAGATTCTTTAAGTTTATTAATTTCACTAAATACCCCAAAAAAAAAGTTTAAAAATTAGCAAAAATACCCCTATCCACCCATACTTGCCAGATTCCAGCAACCACCATCGGTGGTAGCCGGAATCTGTCACAACGGCTTACACTAAGCCTGAAACTAGCTGGTTATTTACCGATTTGGCCGTTAGCTGGACTTTTGCGGCCGTCGACGGCCACATTTGGCCGTAGATCTGACCTTTTCTAGTCAGATCCGTGGTGGATCTGGCAGGAAAAGGCCATATCGATGCGTTACGACACAGATCTAACTGGTCTATGTCGTAACGCAATTTTCCAGCCAGATTCTGGCGATGGTGGCTGGAATCTGACACTGCAGGTGGTGGGGGTGTTTTTGTCATTTTATATATTAGGGTGTTTAATTAAATTAGCAAACCTAGGGGTTTTTTTTTATAAATTTTTAAATTTTACCTCGTAATACTCCACTATTCAACTACCCAATGTTATTCCCAAAATCTTATCCAAAATAATAAACCAAACGCACCCATTAATTTTGTCCCTTTGTCTTTGCATTTTGATTTCGAAAGCACTAGAATGCATGAATTAACTCATGTTACTGTAAATTGAGTCCAAATGTATGATTACCTCGAGGGCAGAGCCAGAAAATTTATTCTAGGGGTGCTAGAACTGATCTTCAAAGGGTTTGGCAATATGCTACCGGTAGAAGTTCGATTAATTGGTATGAAATTTATATTATAGTGAAATACCATAACAATTTGTAATTGTATTTTGAGTGGTTGGTTAAAAAAAAAAAAAAAAAAAATTCATTTTTAATTATTTGTAATAAATTAGGTTTGAAATCAAAATACATTAAAACCTCTATATAGTGATACTCTATATAAGAATAAATTCTACATAGTTATAAAAAATTTTAATCCCAATTTGGGATAGTTATAAATAAGAATAAACTCCACATTATAATACGTTATAATTTTTCTAATTCCCGTCTTAAGAAAAATTGCCTTCACATAGTAATAATTATCTGTATATTACCAAAAAATATATGTTATGTTACATTAAAGATTTAAGACAAAATAAAATATTTATCTAAAGTTGTTTAGGACAATGATTTATATTTTAGAGTTGTTACCACATCTTTACCTTGCTAGAATGTAATAACTTGCTAGCATGGACACCTTCTTGTTGAAACCAAGATATTTTTAGCTTTTCAAGCATGTTTAGAGCTTTATGACATGAAACTTTTTGTATTTCTCTACTATCATTTTTAGGATTATTTCCTCTATCTTCTTTTCTAACTGTACCAATGATTTCTTCTTTGGTTAAAGCATACACGATTTGTTGCTCACTTGGATGATCGAGAAAGACATTAATATCCATTCGATTAGTGTAGTGAAATTGTCGAAACTAATCACTCAATTTTGCAATGACTCTTTTATTTTTCTCGTTCACTTCATTTGTAACTTGCAATTCATTGAAATTAAGGATCTTAATTTTTCAATACTTAAAACCATTGGTAATTATTTATGGCTTCACATCAATTGACTATGCATCAACTGCATTTATAGTTCCATCAATGGCACTTATCTTTACTGGTTTTAAAACACAGTCTTTTATCTATTTCAAAAATAGGCAACTGAAGCGTTGAATTGAAATCTTAATACTACTCCTAATACTGTATTACTAAAACATGAATTAAAAAATAAGAAATCAAAACTATACCTCCATTAAGTTATGACATTCTTATAGTAA